AGTACTTGAGCTTACCTTTCAAGATCTGTGTTCTACAATGCTTGACTTGCTCGTCCGTTACGTTCCCCAGAAACTGGAGTGCGCGAATAGAGATTGGTGCAAGGTGGTTAAAGGTATCCATCTTCCAGATGGCATGCTTGTGGCCCGTGGATGTGTGCTCGACCCAGTATGCGGACGCAAGAGGTACAAACGCTGTGAATTGGTGGCGTTCGGCTGCGTCTCCCCCCGTTTTGTTTGATGCGGGCGGTGACTCGTGGGCGGTGGCCTTAATGACAGCGATGGCATGTTCCATTTCAATTCTCTCCTCTTCTTCGATCGCAAGATCGTTACAGTGCGCAGTCGGATTGCCCCTAGCAATCGAAGAGCAACCCCCGCGGTCATCCGGAACCTGATCCTCCAGGTGGGAGTCGTCCAATCCCCAGATCTTGAGGAAGATCTGTTCGACTTTCGCAGTCCTCCCCCCCAGCCCCTTGCATTCCTTAACGTATTCCTGCTTCCTTAACTCTAGCTTCTCGCAAAGAACCCCAAGCTCACCGTCGAAATCGATCCTACTGCGGTCCCAAGCACCAGCAAGCACGGCGAGATCGCTGAAACCGATCATTTCAAATAGGTGGGGGAATTGCCCAGAATCCCATTTCTCCTTCAATGCGCCAATGACCCCCGGGTTGACTCAAGCGAACAACGCTTGCGTAGGTCTCGCGGGACAGGCACATTCCCCTAACCATGGGTAACGGTGCACGATCTCGTTCCACCATCCGCCCGGGAATGCTTCCTTGGGTGGAGGTAGTATCTAAGAAAGCGGGGCATAGTCGGAAAGGATCGGATAGCGACAAGCGGGAGAACCGGAGAAAAGATGATTGGTGGGATCGTCACACATCCGCWAATGCAAGAACCGTATTATGGAATAGAAGKGGAAAGCAAGGAACACAAGGAGCAAAAGGACGGGACAAAGGAGGAGARAAAAAATTGTAGAARGAAGGGRAAAAAAAGGGGGGGAAGGAAAAAARYRATGGGAGYGCGACASGGTCAGAGCGATTCGCAATGATACGATAATAAGAAATAGGCAACCAARAYAGGGCAGACTCTGCAACATATCTACCATTCGTCCTTCTCATGGGTTTCGTAATCTTTCTTCGGCAATATCCCAGCCCCCACTCCTTCCAGCGTTCAGGCGACTTCGGCGTACCCCATGGCCACGAACATCACCCGAGTCCACGCTACGACATATACTGAATGTCGCTAAAAAAGACCACAGTGCGGTGAGGGGGGGCACCCCCCGACAACGCTTGAGGAAACTCGTCCTCCTGAATGTGTGGCATGTGTGTATCACATGAGTCATGCGTAAGTACGACCCGTCATACTTACGCTGCTCCGACCAAAAAGCAGTCGGCACACTGTGGGCAAGGTGCAAGGYGCGGAGGCGATCGCAAACGCGGCGGGGTAAGACCTTTTCGTACGCCCATCTGTGGTAAGGGTGAGAAGGGCCGCTTTTTTCGAACGATCATAAGCCATCGAAAGCCACATAGGACCAGGGTAAGAGTGGCAGAAGCACCTATCTTTCTAGGGATAAAAAAGCACAACATACATGCAATCCTCAGAAGTAAAAAAATAGAGAGAAGATCCGGTATCTKTTTGCGCRATGAGACAAGGTAACAACAATCATGCAATCAACCTGGTAATACCACAACTAAGATAGCAACCATAAGACCAGATGCCACGAATAGAACCAGAGCACAGATTCTCAATATCCATTGGTTCGCCAAGCGTCATCCATTTAAGAGTAAGGGAGGAGAGAAAGACAACGTAGAGACTCGGTCATGCTGAACCATTCATTCCAAATGACTAGAAAAAACATCGAAACCAGGGTGAGAGTGGTAGCAGCTCCTTTTCAGGGATAAACTCGAAGCACAGCACACACGCAACCAACGATGTACCAAAACGAGTAGTAGATCTCGGTCCGAGTGATGAGACAAAGTAGCGACAAAGATGCAATCAACTTGGCAACACCGCAATCAAGATAGGAACCCAAATGCAGTCACAAGACTAGAAGCCACGAACAGAACCAGAGCACAGATTCTCAATCATCCATTGGAGCGACAAACGCCACCCATTTTTAGAGTGAGGGAGCAGAGAGACAACGGAGAGACTCATCCACGCTGAACCATTCATCCCAAATGACCAATAAACCCTTCGAAAACACTCGATTATCAAAGATCAAAACATTATTATCCTTGCTGCCAATATTCGTACATGTCATTATCCACCGATCGCCAGGGGTCAGGACGGGCACATAAAAGTTTTACAGAAGGCTACGGTGTCGGGGTAGGAAGAGAGGAGGACGAAGATGAGGAGGAAGAAGACGACGAAGAAGAAGAAGACCCTGCTTCAGCTCTCTCCTCCAGGCCCAAAGTGCTCCTGCATCCGCACGGACCATCAYGCCGAACACGCAGGGAGGGCATGGCAATTCCCTAAAGCGCTTTTCTACCCCATGCCATTTGGGGCGTCATCAGAGGGAGGACATCTTCCACGGTCTCTGGAAGGCGGAGGGGTCGAGGGAGATCGTGGAGGGGGGTTATGAGGAGGGAATGATGGACGGAGAAGGGGGGTGATGGTCGGAGAGGGGGGCAGGGGGGCCAGGGTCCATACGGAGGGGGGGAGGAGGGGAGGGAGTCAATGAAATAGAGAAAGGAAAGAAAAGACAAAAAAGAAATAAAAGCTAAAAATACGTGCGACGACGCCCCCGACGCTGCCTTGGGCTCCATTGGTATCCCTCGCGCACTATCCGCCCACGTCGTCCCCTCAGTTGGCAGCAGCAATCAAAAAGAACAGGCAGCAGCAACTCATGAGCAAGAGGGAGAGACAGCAGACAGTGCTCGCGATAAGCGACGCAAAGCCCCTCGTCGAGACCCACAGAAGCACTGTCTCTGAGAGGCAGGCGGTGAAGAGCAAACTTGCAATGGCGAGGTTTGGAAGCAGGGCGAGAAGCAGCAGCAGACTGAGGTATGCGCTTTGCGTATGCGAAAGAGCGCAGTAGCAGGGAAAGGAGGTCATTGCGGGGCAGGTCGCGGCACTATGCATGGCGTAAGCATGGTCAGGGAGTTCGAACAGAAAGGCCTCACGCCAGCGGAGTTACCACTTCCTCTTCCTCGCGCCGCTCCTCCTCCTGGTCCCAATCGGCGAAGAAGTCCATCCCGATACTCCGATGGACAAAGCTCTCGCAGAATCAGGTCACACCGCGCTCCACCAACTTGTTAGAGCCTAYACTAGTGCGGTGGGCCGATGAATAGTCCCGTCGATGCCCGTCCCTATTATAGTTCCCAACCTAGTCTCGTATAGTACACTTCCGATGTAAGCGACCTCTACCATCCATCCGCTTAATGCGTCCATCCACCGGTTGAAAAAATGAATGAAAA